AAAGCAGTCAAAATAAAAAACAAAGTTACAACAGGAAAATAAACATAAAATCTTTTGAATGCTCTGTTTGTTTTTCAATAACTAATTGTTCCACACTAGCACAATGGAGCCGTGTTGCATCTCTTGTAAAATTGTCTGTTACAATTGTTAATCGATCATAATTAACTATTAATTTAATTAGGCGAGGTAGATGTTTTTTTGTATCATTAAGAAACTGTTCGAAGTCATCAATATGAGATTTTCCCAGACTAAGCGAAATAAGATAAAGATATTCAACAATTGAGTAGAATTGTGTATCGTTATAATTCTTATTGTCTGATATTTATGACTGTGATATGTAAAATTAATAACACTCAATTCTAAAAACAATGGAAAAAGCCGAGCTATTCGAAGAAAAAATTCATGTTTGAATAGAACTATATGGTGGACTGGATGTGGGTGGGAATGTTGTGTTCTATTCACCGGTATCCACACCAACACCCTTGAATCGTTTCATAAATGTAATATTATGCTTTTTCATTCCTGCAGTTAATTCAAACATAGGAAAAACATGACCAACTCTACCGATAGTAATCATCAATACATTCAAAATCACAAATAACAGAAAACTATTTACTGCCATGATACTTGTGGGAAAAAGTACGTTGCCGTAGTAGAGAAAAAAAATGTGCGTTTCTCTTTTTGTGCTCTTATCTTACACAAAGTGTGAAGATTCACAGGTGAGCTTCATAAAACCGCTGATGACTAGAAAGAAACGATTCAGAACACCGCTTTACTTCAAGATATTTCGAAGGATAAAACCTATAGTTAGTAGGAGATATAAGACATCTACTTCGGGATGTGAGTGTTGGCAATTAGTGTTAATGTGAAGATGAGATGAGGAGTACACACACATGGAGTCTCGCTTTTCTCATGGCGTGCTCTTCATCTGAAACATTCTACTATTGATATTTCTTGTCCTTCTCAACTGAGTGTGTCGTTGAAAAAACGAAAAAACCACGATAGATAAGAAACATATAATGTTGTCATACTACTAAGACAAGAAACGAATCATTCAAGTAAACAAGCAAACGGAGCCATATATACAAGGTAAGCCATAAATAACTCAACAAAATAAAAAGAATTCGTCTGAATCAATCGGATTAAATCTTTTCCTCAGCGATAAAGATGAAGTCAAGGATTTTTTTGGGAGCGCCCCGACTGGGACCGTATTCGTCCCTACTGAATTCGTCCCATACTAATTGATTCCGAATTCGTCCCGTGAAGAAAAAAATAAAAAGTTCGATTCCGAATTCGTCCCGCGAAGAAAAAAATAAAAAGTTCGATTCCGAATTCGTCCCCGCTGTCGTCCCTAACTAATTCACGAGAAGATATTAATAAGATGTTTTATTAATTGATATAACCATCTGACATTTTATTGAAAATATATATGAAAATAGTGACACAAATGAGCATAGAATTAAAAAAATCATTACTTAATAGTACAATTTTTTTTTACACTTTCTCCACACTTGATAGCAAGTTCTGTAGCAGTAAGATCACCATCAGTATATTGTTGAAGATGAAATAGAAGCATTGAATCAATATTTTCACTTATTTTTTTACGTTTGCGTACATTGAACAATGATTCTTCTGCACGATGATGTTGAAATTCGTGCTCTTGACGTAAACATTGTATGAAATTGAAAATATGAGGATGAGTTGGGAAAATCGAATTCATTCTTTTATTGAATGCCTCAACATGATTATTGGTACGTGGAAAACGTTCAACAATTTCGGAATGAACATTCCATAGATCACATATAAAACGAGCAGAACTATAATCAATATAAGTTGACACGATATAATCATTAAATGCAGTACCACCAGCAGTATCAGGCGTGAAATTATCCATTAAATCTACCCAAGTATTTTGAATCAATTGTGGAGGTATTAAGGCTAAACCGATTGCACCATTAAACCAATACCCACTATGTTCTCGTTGTTCATTTGTAACCATATAATAATTAAAAACTATTAATGGTATCGATTTAATCGATCCAATTTATTCGTTTTGATTGAATAAAATACGAAGGTCCTTTTACTTTAAACACATTCAAGAGATGACGCAGGCGTGCCTACTATAAACTGACCGAGCAATAAAGTCGGTCATTGAATATTAACTACTATTAATTAAAGACAATTTAATAGGAACGAATGTGAAGGGACGAATTCGGAATCGAACTTTTTATTTTTTTCTTCACGGGACGAATGCGGAATCAATTAGTATGGGACGAATTCAGTAGGGACGAATACGGTCCCAGTCGGGGCGCTCCGAAATGAATATTTACCGTATCTTTGTCGATTTGATTATATAATGACACATAGAATTAATGATCAAAAATTAATTGAAGATTTTATTCAATGGTCAATAAATATTGTCGTTCATAAAAATGAAAATTTTAAATTGGTTCATACGCATTCATTACTATGGCCATCAAAGAAAGATGATAAACGACAATTACCTATTGTCAGAAGTGGATGTAATACATCAGTTACATCAAATGTAAAACAAACTGAATATATGAATCATCTATTGATTACAAAACATAATAGACTATACGAATTGAAGACACGTTTTTGTCGAGTTTGTCAAATAACAACTTGTTTATTAATTGATATACAATTGACATTACGTATTTCAAAACTAATTCTCACAAAACAAGCTCGTAAAGTTTATTAATTAAACATAACGTAGCGAAAAAACGATTTTGACTAATTTGTTTTAGCTATTACTTTAATAAATTCGATAATCCAATCTTTAATTTGTCATCTAACTGTTAAACGTTGTTTAAGTAATGGAAGAGAAACCTCAATTCTTGCTCATAGATTTGCTAATCTTAAATAATTAAAATTATTATTTCCATTCAAAGAATTTTCAAATATTCGTTTTTTCAGACATTATTTAGTATTGATGATAATATTTGTGGAAATCATCGTTGTTGGTCTCAATTAATAAACTTTTCAACTGACTTTTATAATCGATTACAAATATAAAATTTGTTAAATCGCGATTTTATGCTGATTATTTTAATTCAAAGTTTTATATTTGCTTTTTAATTTTTTCGCTTTATTAACAAAAAAGAATATTTTTCTAGTTGTTATATTAAATCAAACAAAAAGATTACCAATAGTGTCAAACGTGAAGTTAAACTTAATTCTTGAAGATCTTTTCATATATTCAGCTATTCAATTATTAAATACAGATATTTAATTAGCGTGTGAGCGTTCTCTTCTTCATATTGACACCGACACCCACAGCCATATCCTACCAACTCACGAAGAAAGGTCTCCAAGTGTGACATGCCGATTAAATAGATATTTTACCCATAAGCAGACCTCAGTGAGACTGGAAGAAGTCTAAAAGGGTTACGCTGTTCTTCTTGAGTTAACACTGTTTTCCAGTATTTTCTGTCTCTAGCAATGCCTATATAAAAACATACAGTTATGAAATTACGCCCATAGATAGATCTTATGATCACTGGAATATCCTAAAAATTCCAGCCAAAAAGAATGTTTTCTTCATGAGATATGGAATATCCAAAATACCGATATGCGTCATAAGGAAACTTCAGTATGTAATATCTCAAGAAGACAACGTTCTTTTGGGCTGAAGTTTCAGGATATTTCGATAACCATAAGATCTCTCTATGAGCGTAATTTCATAACTATACGTTTTTATATATGCCTTGCTGGAGACAGAAAATATAGGAAAATGATCGTAACTCAAGAAGAACAGCGTATGAAGACGAACCCTTTTAGACTTTTTCTAGTTTCAGTGAGAACTATTTATGGACAAAATATCGACTTAAGCGGCGTGTCACATTTGGAGACCTTCCCTCGTCAGATGGTAACCAATCGATTTGTTAATAAACTAATTTATTATTATAAAATGTTATGCATACAACGGATCATATTTGACAAAGACTGTTCTTCGTTTCTGAATTCATTCGACAAAAATGGACTAATTCATTCGAATCGTCTCTTTTTGCGACTAAAAGACAATACTGACATTGTGATCTCTACCTAGCAGAAAATTATCAAGTTAATAACTACTAAACAAGTCAGGATTATATTTGTATTCATGCAAATGTTTATTTTGAGCAATTAGATTCACTTTCATGTAAAGAATAACATCATCTGTTTGGAAAGATCAAGCTTTATTTAGAGAATTTGCAAGCAAATTTGGTCGGCTTATTCTCAAATTGGACAATAACTCTACAGTTTTCTGTTATAAAGAATTTTTTCTTTCATTTGCCAAACTTAACAAGAACTCAATAGATAATCAATATTCTTGCATATGAAGGAGTTTATTTTTCAGAAAGTGTTTAGCATTTTACAAATTTTTTGATTACATTTTTGCATTGAATGCAATGAAATAGTATTCGATCTAGAGTCCCGTTGGATAAACTTTTCTATCGTATGTGTATTACTCAAAGGATGAGATATTTTTTAATCAGAAGATAGTCTTTTATTTAAAAAATCAAATGAATGTTATATTCATCATCAATGTTACCCATATACTATACATGAAAAACGTCTAAAGTAGAAAATAATATTGATCATCTATTCGTGTTCACTCTTATTATAGCAGAATATTTCATACTTTCTAAAGCCGAATAATATGTGAAATAGATTGATCTAAACGTTTTATTGATCACTATTTGATCGAGAGTAAGGAAAAGTCATTTCACTCATCTATTTATTTCACTAATCGACATGTTTGCCATCGTTCTTTCCAGATTCTTGTTTTTCTTGGTCAGTCAGCCAAGATTCTTTTTAATCTTGATCTTCAGGCAAGATACTTTTTAAGAGGAAGCAAAAAAGAAACTTGTTTGAAGTTCAAGATAAACGAATCTTGACTATTTGATCAAGAAAAGCAAGAATCTGCAAGAAATAACAAGATATTCAGAATTTTTTGGAGTTCAGACAAGACTCCTGTGTCAGAAAAGAAAAAACGATTCTTCTCTGATATTCAAGACAAACGTCACGTGATGTCTTTGTATGTATGTATCTATATATATCAACGTCTATACGTTATTTATTCATTTTTACATGATGATAATCATTGATTATTGTGTTCAATTAAATGGACAAAGACATTCTTTTCAAACAATCTTTGGGTTGCATGTCAGTATCAGGTAAATGAAAATATTTAATAGTAAATATACATGTATCGACTCACATTCGTGAGTCAATTTATAATTGATTTTAG